ACTATGGGCAGAAATTAATGAAATACAAAACAATAACACCACACAGATCAACAAGGCCAAATGATGGTCCTGTGAAAAGACAAATCTTTGACAACACTGGCCAGTGGAATAAAAGAGAAGCACAAATAAAGACTATTAGGAAATTAGGAATGAAAAATATGTCACAACTAGAGATAAAAGAGAGATCTTAAAAATAATCATTGGCCATTATGAATGACTTTATCCCAAGAAATTTTCTAAAAATATCTTCTACCAAAATGAATTATTTAGAAATCTGAATAACCTTTAACCATTAAAGAAATTGAATGGAGAGTTAGAATCCACCCGCCAAGACGGTACCAGACCCAGATGCTTTTATATATCTTGGCTGACAAACATTCAAGAAATAAATATCTCTAAACTTATACAAATTCTTGCAGAGAATATAAAAATAAGACAGCCCCTCACTCATTTTATGAGGCGAGACTAACCTGAGCACCAAAAGCAGTTAAAGACTACAGGATAAAAAGAAATGGGTACTGTTGATTCCACTTATAGAAGTTCAAAAACAGTTGAAACTAACCAATCATGCCAGAAATCAGGGCAGTGTTTGCTCTGGGAGGATGGGGGGAGGGGTGACTGGAGGAGGCACAAGGGTCTCGGGGCTGGCTGTGATCCTTTCCTGGACCTGGAGGCAGTTACAGGGAATGTAAATACTCACTGAGCTGTATCCTTATGTTTCATGTACTTTTCTGTGTGGGTGTCACTCTATAAAAAATAAATAAAATAGAAAATAAAATTCCCAGGACGTATTCTACAACTATCAGACTGCCCAAATTTTGAACATCTGACAATAGTGGCTGTGGGTTAAGATGTGGAGTAGCCCAATCCCATCCCTGTTGGTGTTGTAAATTGGAAACAACCACTCAGCAGTGTTGCTCTCTCTGGTATAGGTGAAGGCATGCATAGCTACGCACAAGCAGGAGTACTTCTAGGTAGATAACCTTGAGAAACTCTGGCGCATGTGCACAAGGAAAAAATTAAAAGAATGGTATTTGCAGAATTTGGGGTAGTAGCCAAAAATTAAGAACAACCCAAATGCCTGTGATAGGAGAATAAATGGATAGATTGCCGCATATTCAGACAGTGGACTACTATACGGTTGTGAACAGAAATGACCAAAGCTACACATATCAGCAGGGATGAATTGCTCCAACATAATGTCGAGAAAAGAAAAAAAAGCAAGTTATAAAAGGGTACACAGCTTATGGCGACATTTAAACTTTAAAAACATGCCAAGGAATATAATGTATTGTTTCAGAACACGGATGAAGAAATGCACTGGGGTAGTGAACCCAGCTACAAGTGGGGGCTTCCTGCAGGGGGAGCGAGGGAGGGTCTTTCAAACCCAGTAAAGCTCATTTTCCCTTTTCTGGACTCTGCTAGCAGTGTTTATCTTGCCACACACCTCTCACACTGCAACGTAGACAAAGGTTCCCGCGCTCGCTCCCTGTCTCCCATCTACACTGTGAGCTTCACATGAATTACCACCGGTCAGTTCAACAAGGGACCCCGACAAGGCAGTACAGCACCATGTGGGTGCATGTGTGGGTGTGTATGTGTGTGTGTCCGTGTGTTTGCACGTGCATGCAGGAGTTGTCTGTGATATGGGACCAGGTGGAGACCGGGCCAGGCGGACCCGCTGGAGTACCACCTGAAGCAGGAAGAGGGAGGCAGACAGAAGGCCCATCTGTAGGGAGCTTCTGTGGAAAGATGCCCCAGGGCCTCTCCTGGGCTAAGTCTCCCGGGTCACGATCCTCCTGCGCCGAGACAGGAACCATCATGGCGGGGTGTGAGTCAAATCAATGGTGCTGTAGACATGACAAACTGCGTGGAAAGTAGGGTACAGAACTGACAAGAAAACAGACAACCAGGTTCCGCTTCTGCAGGAGAAACGGGCTGCAGACCCTGTGACAGCTGTCAAGCCTGAGCAATGATCCAACCCAGCAAATCCAACAGGATAATCAGGTGTTGGGAACGGAAGAGGAAGACTAGTGTGCTCTGTATCTCCTGGACGCCACGGCCAGTCCTCTGCCCTAACCCCACCCCAGCCCCACGCCACCATGTGCCACACCAGCCGCTCCACTGGTTCTCTGGGCTGTGTCCCCACCTGCTGCCCTCCCTCGGGCTGCGGGAGCTCCTGCAGCCACCTGGCCTCCAGCGCGGCTCTGCCTCCTGCCAGTCGGCCTGCGGCTGCCCATCCCCAAGCTGCCCGATGGCCTGCAGCCAGGCCTCCTTCTGCAGCTTGGCCTGCTGCGTGCCCAGCCCCTGCCAGGCGGCCTGCTGCATGCGCGTGAGCTACAGGTCCACTGTGTGTGTGGCCCCCTCCTGCCCGTCCTGCCAGTGCTGCTGACCCTCCTGCCCCACCCTTGTCTCTAGGCCTGTCCCCTGTGCCACCCCTGCCTGCTTCTGACCATCCATTCCTTGTCCTCCAAATCCTGGAGGAACTGCTCTGGTCACATCAAGCAGCCCTCATGAGATTGTCCCTTCCAGACCAGCACTGGCCAACTAGAGCCAGGGCCTCCCCCCTCCCTGGACCTCTTTCCCAGTGACAGCAGGGGCACCTAAGGGCCCGTTTCTGACTTGCTCACTTTCTTCCCTTTACCATGACTTTGAAGAAAATTGGACCTTTCACTGGGATATTTTCTAAATTAATAAATTTGTCAGATTTTCATCCTCTTCTTCGGTTTCTCCTGTTCTAAACTTTGCTTCCTACGCCATGTCCGATGTGGAAAACCAGCATGGCAGAATGGAGGCTGGGAGGGGCCACAGCCCATGCAGGGCAAGGCTGAGCGGGCCTCTGTGCTCATTCCTGCCCCTCCCTCCACTCCTGCTCCCACCGACCATTTCATCTCTTGCTCCCAACCTGGGAGACCCGAGTGCCTGCATGTGTGTGCTGAGTGTGCGCATGCACGTGCATGTATGTCATACATGTGTATATGCTGGGTGTGTGTATGAGTTTGTACATGTGCAGGTGCATGAGGGTATGTGTACATGTTCTGTGTGCACACATACATGTGTGTATTGATGTGTGTTTGTGTGTGCATGCTGTATATGTGTTTACATTGGTTGTGTGCATGTGAGTTTTTATGTCCAAGTTGACTGGTTCCATTTCTGGGCCAATTTTATCTAAAGCTTCCCAAACTTAAACACTACAATAGGTTCCAGACCACCTCGGCTAAAAGATTATAAAACCAATTTTGCAACTCTAAGCTCATCATCTGCCTCCAGGACATAAATAAAAAAGTTGGAAATCCCAGGTGGCCAGTAGTGAGAATGTCTTTAGAGGGACTGTGTCCCCTCCCCACCCACCGGGAAGGGGAAGGGGTACTGCCCTTGACGGTGGGTGAAGGAAGCCCCAGGATTCAAGCACTCTATCTAGAGAGCTGACGTGGCTCCCCCACCCGCACTGGCCCCATATGGAATCTTGGGGACAATGGGGTCCAGGGGGTGGGTTTGGGGAGAAGTCCAGCGTATTGTGACATCTGATCAGCTGAGAGCCGGGAGGGAAGAATGGAGACTCCTGGACAAGTGAGCAGTCATGCTCCTGTCCCCAGGGCTGGGCTCTGGACTTTAGCTGGGAACAAAGCAGAAGAATCCAGTGGTCACCATGGTGCTGGCACATCAAACTACACCCATCTTGCCCTCCTAGAAAAGCTCCCAGGAAAATTCACCACTAAATGAACCCCCAGAAACAGAAGGTGTGGAATCCATGGTTGCTTCCGAGAGGGAGGTGGGAAGTAGATTTTCCTGCATCCCCGGCCACTGCCTGGGGCGTCCACCCAGATGCCGGGCTCTACCCGGCTGCCTGTGGGCACAGTTCCCGAACTGTCAACGCCCGTGCCTGAGGATGGCACTGGCTCCTGCGTTCTCACAAGTTGGCCAGCTGCTCCCTGTGACCCGGCCGCTCCCCTGCAGAGCCAGCGTCTCCAGCGTGTTGCGGTTCTCTCTGCTGCCACAAACAGAAGATGAGCACCTTGCTTGGGGTGGGAGGTTGGCTTGGCCCCAAAGAGAAAGGTCACAGATGCCAAAAGGAGGGACAAGGACAGTCCTCAACCAGGTCCTCCCGCCCCACAGTCCCCTCAGCACCCTTGGCTATCCACCTATTGGAGCAGGTTTAACCTGAAACAGCCCCCAATAGAACAGCAGAAGAGGTCAAGACGAATGGACCACAATGCACAGGATATGCGGAGGAATCTTAGCAATATTGTACGGAGTGACTAAAGTAGGTTCCAGAAGGTTGCATTCGGGATAATGCCCTTCTAATGTAATGCAAAACCATTAAATTAGGAAATACATTTTTCAGGAATACATAGACTCAACTCTGTTTTTTTAAAAGGTAACAATAATGAGCACACACTTCCAACAGTGGTTACCCTGAAAAGTTAGGGATAAATTATTAATGTTCTAGGTTCCATGTTAGGTAGTGAGTTCATGGTGGTTTACTATATTATAATACTCAACAATTGACTTTCAACCAATCAGTCAAAAATGGGCCACACCCAGACTATCGATGGAAGTGAGTCATGAGTCAAGGACCAGAACTAATCCAGTTCCACAAACCTGAGGTGCAGAAGAGTCAGAGGCTGCCCCATTGATTTAACTCTTCACAACACGGGAAATAGGACGTCTTCCAACCAGATGGGTAAAACCATCCTCACGGCCTGATGCATTTGACATCAACCACAGTGCTCACTGCCCCTAGAGGCAGGAATCTGCACCCAAGACGAAGCAAGAGCAGCCACCGAGAGAGGGCATGTCACTGCCCCTGGCCACGTGCACCTGGGTCTCGGAGCCTCGGGAAGCGTGAAGGCATCAGCCACTCCCTCCACCCAGGAGCTCCCCCTCCCACTGAGCCTCTGTGAAAAGGGATCGCTGAAGACAGGATAGCCTGAAACCCTTCATATAACAGACCAGATAGTCAGAAAAGAGAAATAAAGAGAAAGACAGGAATACAGAGAGCATGGGAAAGCACGATTTATTTGGCTCACATGGGGTTTGGTTTCCTGCTGGAGACAGAGAACGACCCTGGGAGCCAGGGCTTCCCTGAGGGGATGCACAGGGTCACAGAGGGATCCAGATCATCCTTCCGAATTCTCACCCTGGAGGTCAGAGGCTTCGTTGAGCATGTTTTTCATCTGCCACCGGCAGAATCTGGAGGCCCACCAGGACTCGTTCCGGGAGGGGTACAGATGTGCACCCATCTGCACTGGGAGCAGCTGAGTAAGGGACTCGTGGTCAATAGCAGCAAGGGGAGCTACAGGAGACGGGTCTGCAGACCAGGGTGGGGCAGGAGGGCTGGCAGCACCCGGAGGGCTGGCAGCAGGGAGCCACAGAAGCAGATGGCTTGCAGCTCACTGGCACATGCACCAAGAACTGGCAGGAGGGGGCCACATACACAGCGGGCCTGCAGCTCACAGGTGTGCACACGGCTGGCTGGCAGTTCACAGGTGTGCACACGGCTGGCTGGCAGCTCACTGGCACGCAGCTGGATGCCTGACAAGGGCTGGGTGTGCAGCAGGCAGCCTGGCAGCCTGAGGAGCAGCTGGTGTGGCACATGGTGGCGTGGGGCTGGGCTGGTGTCAAGGAGGAGGGCGGTGACGTCTGCAGGCTCCTTCCCTGGGCAGCCTTTATACCCGAGCCGTGGGTGTGTGGACAACATGGGACACGTTTTCTTCCTTGTTTTGGTTCTTCTGGGCTGTCTCCCAGAACTTGGCTTCTGCTGTAGACATTGTGTTGTTTGCTTGGCTCTCCCCTCATGACTAATTGCCCCTTCCTCAAGCTCTTGTTACACCTGGAAATCAGAGCGTGTCTCGGGAGCTTCGAGATGGAGTTGAGCACTGGAGGGTGCACAGGAAAGAGATGGAGACCCTCGCTCACAGGACAAGTGTACACTGATGGGTGAGTTCACAGGGAACTCCGGGGAGGGTGACCTTGGATCCTTGTCTGGAGGAAGCCTCACAGTTAGAGAAGTGAGATGAACACCGCCAGTGGACCTCCTGCATGGAGACACAGACCCACAACAAGCAGAGCAGGACCCAGCAGGCCCCAGGGAAGTGTGTAGGGGCAAGTGGAGGGCCCCTGGGGGCCCGGGAAGGAGAGGTGTCAGCTGTTTGTGGAAGGCCTGACTCTGGACATGTCCAGGGTAACCCCGCTGGCACCACTGTGGCCTGTAGATGTCCCCACAGGGTCACTTGACACTTGTGTGAGGGTGTGCCTAGTCTGGCAGCGGCTCTTTGCACAGTCTGTTTGGGACAGCCAAGGGGAGGGAGCACAGCCCCCCTGGAGACCACAGGGAGGGTGGTAGAGCGAGTCTTCTCCAGCACACTCTGCCCTCTCTGGTGCTAGTGACTGTAGAATCTGGATTATGCAGTTGGACAGCCCTCCATACCATTTTTACAAGAATTCAAGGTCCTTTTATATCACCTCCACCTTTGACAGTGAGGGAGCTTTGAGAAGTTAATACAGAAGATGGTGTTTCTGAAAACGTAGCTCCTGAGTTGACACACCCAGGGCAGGATTTACAAGATTTCTCTTCAGGGGGTCCCTAAATACTGACACACAGCTCAGCGTGGTAGACCCACCTCAAAATGTACACATGCCTGGGCCCAGGCATACACTCACGGGTGGGACCTATTTGTGCCCCCACCCCTGAGGTCTTCTCGACGGGGAGATATCCTCTACACTCCCTGCACTGCCCTGCCCCCACCCACTCCTCACTCTCCCTGCAGAAGGGAGAGGATCCTCAGAGGGGAGACCCTGGGGCAAGGATTGGGACCAGCCTGCTGGCCTGCAGAGAGTACCTGCTGTGGTCGGCTTGGCCAGGGCACTCTCAGCACACAGACCCGGACTCTGTGGGTGGTCTGTGGTTTTCCAGGATGGCCTGTCCCTGATGGGAGACTCTGACACGTTCTGTTCTAGAAGCCACCCTCTAGCCAACTCCTCCAACTGTTCTCTCAGCGATACCAGCTGGATTGAGCTCCACCTGCCTGGTGGCCGCCTCTCTCCTCTGGTTGCACACTGAGACAAAGACGAGTGGTACCCGAAGACCTCCTCAAACCACAACCTCTGCTTCATGGACCAGGAACCTTCAGAACAGATGAGAGTTGAATACAGAGAACAAAATAACACTGGGAATACTCGATGGAATAACTGGCACAGACCAGCCCTCCCACCGACTATACGACTGAAGGAAACTGATGAGACACCCTTTTCAGGCAGTGGTCCACAAGCAGCACAGACTGTGACTCCTGGGAGAAAAGAAACGTACTAGATGAGCTCGATATCCGCCCAGCTCTCTGCCTGGGCTCAACTTCAACGGATAACTTCTTAGACTCATACGACCTCCCAAAACTGGACCAAGAAGAAATAGAGAATCTGAATACACCAATCACAACTAAAGAGATTGAAACAGTAACCAAAAATCTCCCAAAAAATAAAAGTCCAGGACCAGATGGCCTCTCTGGAGAATTCTACCAAACATTCAAAGAAGATTTAATACCTATCATTCTCAAACTATTCCAAAAACTTGAATAAGTCAGAACACTTCCTAACGCATTTTACGAGGCCAACATCACCCTGATCCCAAAGCCAGACAAGGACAACACAAAGAAGGAAAATTACAGGCCAATATCGCTGATGAACATAGATGCAAAAATCCTCAACAAAATATCGGCAAACCGAATACAGTAATACAGTAAAAGGATCATACACCACGATCAAGTGGGATTTACCCCAGGGACGCAGGGATGCTTCAATATCTGCAAATCAATCAATGTGATACACCGCATTAACAAAATGAGGAATAAAAACCACATGATCATCTCAATAGAAGCAGAGAAAGCATTTGACAAGATCCAACATCGAATCATGATGAAAACTCTCAATAAAATGGGTATAGAAGGAAAGTACCTCAACATAATAAAGGCCGTATATGACAAACCCACAGCCAACATCACACTCAATGGGGGAAAATTAAAGCCATCCCTCTGAGAACAGGAACAAGGCAAGGGTGCCCACTCTCATCACTCATATTCAACATAGTACTGGAGGTTTTGGCCAGCAATTAGGCAAGAAAAAGAAATAAAAGGTATCCAAATTGGAAAGGAAGAAGTGAAATCTCACTGTTTGCAGATGACATGATTTTATATATAGAAAACCCATGATTTTATACATAAAAACCCATGGGAAAACTATTGGAAATAATCAACAACTACAGCAAAGCTGTAGGGTACAAAATCAACTTACAAAACTCAGTTGTATTTCTATACTCTAATAACAAACTAGCAGAAAGAGAACTCAAGAATACAATCCCCTTTACAATCGCAACAAAAAGAATAAAATATCTAGGAATAAATTTAACCAAGGACGTGAAAGACTTCTACAATGAAAACTATAAGACGTTATTGAAAGAAATCAATAATGACCTAAAGAAATAGAAAGATATTCCATGCACGTGGATTGCAAGAATAAACATAGTTAAAATGTCCATACTACCTAAAGCAATCCGCAGAGTCACTGCAATCCCAATCACAATTCCAATGACCTTCTTCTCAGAAATAGAACAAAGAATCCCACAATTAATATGGGGCAAACAAAGACCCTCAATAGCTAAAGCAATCCTGAGGAAAATGAACAAAGCTGGAGGCATCACAATCCTGTACTTCAAAATACACTATAAAGTGATAATAATCAAAACATCATGGTACTGGTACAAAAACAGACACACAGATCAATGGAACAGAATTAAAGTGCAGAAAGAAAACCACACATCTACAGACAGCTCATTTTTGACAAAGGGTCCAAGAACACACAACAGAGAAAGGAAAGTCTCTTCAATAAATGGTGTTGGGAAAACTGGACAGCCAGATGCAAAAGAATGAAAGTAGATTGTTATCTTTCACCATACACAAAAATTAACTCAAAATGGATCAAAGACTTGAATGTAAGACCTGAAACCATAGAACTCCTAGAAGAAAATACAGGCAGTACACTCTTTGACATTGGTCTTAGAAGGATCTTTTCGAATTCCATGCCTACTCGGGCAAGGGAAACAAAAGAAAAAATAAACAAATGGGACCTGATCAGACTAAAGAGCTTCTGCAAGTGAAGGAACCCAGGAATAACACAAAAATACAACCCACTAACTGGGAGAAAATACTTGCAAATCATATATTCAACAAGGGGTTAATCTCCAAAATATATAAAGAACTCATACAACTCAACAACAAAAACAGAAAGAACCCGATCAGTAAATGGGCAGAGGATATGAACAGACATTTTTCCAAAGAAAATATACAGATGACCAACAGGCACATGAAAAGATGTTCAACATCATTAATCATCAGGGAAATGCAAATCAAAACTACAATGAGATACCACCTTATACCTGTTAGAGTGGCTATAATTACCAACACAAAAAACAACAAATGTTGGAGAGGATGTGGAGAAAAGGGAACCCTCCTACATTGCTGGTGTGAACGCAAACTGGTGCAGCATTGGAAAACTGGTGCATACTATGGAAAACAGAATGGAGATTTCTCAAAAAATTAAAAATATAAATACCATACGACTGGGTATCCCACTACTGGGTATTTATCCAAAGAACTTGAAATCAACAATTCAAAGAGACTGATACACCCCTATGTTCATTGCAGCATTATTCACAATAGCCAAGATGTGGAAGCAACCCAAGTGCCCATCGATTGACGATTGGATAAAGAAGATACAGGGGCCAACCTGGTGGTGTAGCAGTTAAGTGCGCGCGCTCCACTTCTGCAGCCCAGGGTTGGCAGGTTCGGATCCCGGGCACCCACTGATGCACCACTTGTCGGGCCATGCTGTGATGGCATCCTATATAAAAACTAGAGGAAGATGGGCACGGATGTTAGCTCAGGGCCAATCTTCTTCAGAAAAAAAAAGAGGAGGATTGGCATTGGATGTTAGCTCAGGGCTAATCTTCCTCACAAAAAAAGAAGAAACAAAAACAAAAACAACAAAAAAAGATGTGGTGTATATATACAATGGAGTACTACTCAGCCATAAAAAACACAAAATCGTTCCATTTGCAAGAACATGGATGGACCTGGAGGGTATTATGTTAAGTGAAATCAGGTGGACGGAGAAAGGCAAATGCCATATGATTTCACTCATGTGTGGAAGATAAACAAACACACGAACAAAGAGAACATATTAGTGGTTTCCTGAGGGGAAGGGGGTTGGAGGGTGGGCATAGGGATAAAGGGGCACGTATATACAGCGACAGACAAATAATAATGTACAACTGAAATTTCACAGTGTTATAAACTATTAACACTTAAATAAAATAAAAAATAAAGAATTCTATATCTAGCCCCTGAAAAAAAATATCCTTCAAAATAGAGGGTGAAATGAAACATTTTCAATAAGCAAAAGCTGAGAGAATTCCTCACCAGCAGACCTGCACTACTAGAAATACTGAAGGATGCCCCTCGGGTAGAGTAGAAATGTGCCCAGAAGGAACACGAATCTTCAGGAAGGAAAATAGAAAAGATGCGTTTTCACTCATCCAGAAAAGGACTTGAAGGCGACTGACTGTTTCAAATGTGTCCTCAGTAACGAGGTCATATTTGGATATGTGATCACATATGGCTGCTCCAAATTCTCTTTGTTTTCGTTTTTGTTTTTTATTTTTGGTGAGGAAGATCAGCCCTGAGCTAACATCCATTGCCAATCCTCCTCTTTTTGCTGAGGAAGATTGGCCCTGGGTTAACATCAGTGCCCATCTTCCTCCACTTTATATTTGGGATGTCTGCCACAGCATGGCATGACAAGCAGTGTGTAGGTCTGAAATCCGGGATCCGAACCTGTGAACCCCAGGCCGCCAAAGTGGAGCGTGGGATCTTAACCACTATGCCACCAGGCTGGCCGCTGAATTGTCTTTGATTTAAGTGTGGTTTTCAACTGTGATCACAGTCAAAGGAGGAGCCTGTGAAAGAACTGACCTCAGAGGAGGGAGCAGCGCTGCCCTGAGAGACGGTCACTCCCCGTGACACGGCCCCACAACAGAAAACGTGCTATGTTCCACGTGGAAAGAGAACAGAGCCAGGGAACATGAGGAAGAACATGGAATCCACACCCCACCCCGTGGCCTCTCGCCCTGTGGAGGGGCGTCACGGAATTCCATGCTGCTCCTCTCTCCACTACCTGCTCTGCAGGGGCCAGGCTGATTGGACCCTTGGGCTGGGGGAGGAATCCGGCATGGGGAGCTCAACCCTCTCACCACATTCGGTCCTCCTGGGCTCCACCTGCAGATGGTTGTCTGCAGCCACTTGTGCTGCCTGACTAGGTGGGCAATTCTGGGGTGTGATGCTGGCCTCCACGGCAGCATGTAGGTGTTCGTACACCTAAGCCGTGCTCTCCACGGACCCAAAATGACTGGTATGGTCATCTGTCTGGCCCTTGCTCTTGTCTGTCCCGACTGATTCAGGAATTCAGGATATGTCACTATTGAACCCTAAAGCCCCAACATAATTTTGCAAAATGGTAAAGACCATGGATTCCCGACTGAAACCAAGAGCTTCCAATGCCAATTCCCCATCTTCAGTAATGAGAACATGCATACACCATGAAATCCTTCTAAATCTTCCTAATTGAACATCTGTACAAAAAGGGTCTCACCGACCCCTTGAAGGGTGGCAAAGATTGGGAACAAATCTATTATGAGATAATCCATGTAAAATGCTTATACAGCACCTGGCACAAAGCTGGAACTTCGTTATTACTGTTATTATTGCGATAACGCAGTCCCTGCACTCTCCAGTGAGAGGCCCAACCCCACGGCTCTCATCAGCTGGGAAGACCTTCTGGATCACTGAGTTCCCGAATCAAATTGAGGACCCTTAGCCCAGTGAGTATGACTGTGCTTGTGCAGACAGAGGGCAAGGTAATTAAAATTGGGGAGGACCTTGAAAATCATGACATGGGACTCCCTGCCCCCAACTGATGGCCCTTCACCATCCAACCTGGGCTCTGATTCCAGAAATCACAGGGCTGCTGAATCCCAGTGAGTCTCCAACTGAGGAGGATCTTCCTGAACTCAGTTACTTCAGCTGGAAACTCCAGGAAGAAACCCACAGAGAGAAGAGGAGGAAAACAACCAGGTATCAATGAGGAAGACACTCATATCTATGAGTTCATTTTTTTCTTTTTAGAATCCACATGTAAGTGAGATCACACAGCATATGTCTTTCTCTATCTAACTTATTTCCCTACTCATAGTTATTTTAAAGTTTCTGTCTGATAGCTCTAACATCTGGGTCATTTTGGAGTCCAGTTTTGTTGATTGCTTTGTCTCTTGACAATGGACTGATTTTTCCTTGCCTAGTTGATTGTCTTCTGTTTTTGAGTGAATATCAGATAGCATGTATTAATTGAAATGGACATGAACACTGTTTCCTCCAGGAAATAGGTGTCTCTTCTGTCAGGTCCTCAGTGTGTGTGTGGACAGGTTTGAATCAACCTGTTCACTTGTTGACCTTGGTTTGGGTTTTGTTGTTATTGTGATGACCTTCAGGGTACCCAGGACTTCAGATTCGTCCTATGGTGGGATGTCAGCAGTTTGTGCTTAGGGCCAGAGCAGGGGGTGCAGTGTTTTAGCTCCACCCTGAGTTTTCAGCTCCCCCAGAGTGCCTGGCACACAGAGGGAACCTCAACGCATGTCAGCCTTTCCCAGTGGAGACTGATGCTGCTCATGCAGCTGTGCTGGAGGCTGAGTCGAGAGGCAGGAGGGCTCTCTGACTTAGTGTCCCAGTGTCAGTCTTGAGCAGGCCCTGAGTGCCTGGGACCTGGAGGGCAAGGCTTTCTCACTTGACACTCCTCCCTGGGATGGCCAGAATCTGCTTTCCATCGGTGGTGGGACAGTGTGAGAATTTCCTGCCCTCCCTGCTGTAGTAATCCTTTAGGGTACTGCATGGGACCTGGGCCCAGGCCTGTTTCCTGACCCCCACTCAGGAAGAAGCAAGTTTTTCCTCTTCCCTTCCCCATGCACAATGCAAGTTTCAGTTGGTCAAAGTGTGGACAGCACCTTCCTCACCCCCTCCACCCACCAAGGCCCCACACCTTCAGCTGAGCCATCGGGAAGAGGGCTCCTTGAGGAGGCGCTGCTGTGCTTATGATTTCTATACGCCTTAAAGGAAAGAACTTACAAAATAAATGAAGATAAACTAGAGGGACAAGCTGCATCCTAAAAGCATGATTTATTTGGCTCACATGGGGTTTGGTTTCCTGCTGGAGACAGAGAAGGACTCTGGGCACCAGGAATTCCGTCACGCAGAAATCCAGATCAGAGGTCAGAGCGTTTGTTGAGCATGCTTTTCATCTGTCACCTGCAGAAACTGGAGGCCCAATGAGGACTTGTTCCAGGAGGGGTAGAGGCGTGGACCCATCTGCACTGGGAGCAGCTGAGCAAGGAACTTGTGGTCAATAGCAGCAAAGGGAGCTATAGGAGATGGGTCTGCAGACCAGGGTGGGGCAGGAGGGCTGGCAGCACCCGGAGGACTGGCAGGAGGGGGCCAAACACACAGCTGGCCGGCAGCTCATGGGTGTGCACACAGCAGGCCGGCAGCTCACGGGCGTGCACACAGTGGGCCTGCAGCTCATGGGTGTGCACACAGCGGTCTGGCACCTCATGGGTGTGCAAACAGCAGGCTGGCAGCTCACGGGTGTGCACACAGTGGTGTGGCAGCTCACGGGTGTGCACACAGCAGTCCTGCAGCTCACAGGCATGCACATGGCTGGCTGGCAGCTCACGGGCACACAACGGGATGCCTGGCAGGGGCTGGGTGTGCAGCAGGCCGGCTGGAAGCCTGAGGAGCAGCTGGTGTGGCACATGGTGGCGTGGGCTGGGCTGTCAAGGAGGAGGGCAGTGATGTCTGCAGGCTCCTTCCCTGGACGGCCTTTATACCCGAGCCGTGGGTGTGTGGACAACATGGGGCACGATGTTGTCTTCCTTGTTTTGGCTTCTTCCAGGCCGTGCCCCAGAACTTGGCTTCTGCTGTAGATGTTGTGTTGTTTGCTTGGCTGTCACCTCATGACTAATTGCCCCTTCCGCAAGCTCTTCTTACACCTGGAAACCTGCCCGATGTCTTACTGGCTCCATCTGGATTCTGCCTCATTCCTTAACATTTCACCTGAGCAACTTTTCTGTGATTCCAAAAATGTGGGTCTCCCATTTCCCTCTCTGTGTGACTACGGTCCTGGAACAGCATCCTCTCCCGTGTCAGGAGGGCTCCACAGCAGAGGCAAGGAGAGCCGAGCGTCTCCTGGGAGCTTCATGGTAGAGTTGAACGCTAGGAGGCACACAAGAAAGAGATGGAGACCACCCGTCCACAGGACAAGTGCACGCTGAAGGCTGTGGTCACAGAGAACTTCTGCTGGGCATGACCTAGGATCCTTGTCTGGAGGAAGCCTCACAGTTAGAGAAGTGAGATGAACACAGCCAGCGGACCTTGTGCATGGAGACACAGCCCCACAAAGAGCAGAGCAGGATCTAGCGGGGCCCAGGGAAGTGTGTAGGGGTGAGTGGAGGGCCCCCGGGGGCCATGGAAGGAGAGGTGTCAGCTGGTTGTGGAAGGCCTGACTCTGGACACATCCAGGGCAGACCTGCTGGCCTCTGTGTGGCCTGCAGATGTCCCCATGAGGTCATTTGAGATTTGGGTGAGGGGGTGCCTAGTCTGCCAGCAGGTCTTTGAGCCGCCTGTTTGGGAAAGCCAAGGGGAGGGAGCACACAGGGAGAGTGTCAGAGCGAGTCTTCAGCACACTCTGCCCTCTCTGGTGCTGGTGACGGTAGAATCTGGATTATGCAGTTGGATAGCCCTCTATTCGATTTTAACAAGAATTCAAAGTCCCTTTAATTTCACTCTCCCTCCAACCTTGACAGTGAGAGAGCTTTGAGAAGTTAATACAGAAGATGGTGTTTCTGAAAAAGTAGCTGCTGAGTTGGCAGACCCAGGGCTGGATTTACAAGATTTCTCTACATCGGGTCCCTAAACACTGACACACAGCTCAGCGTGGTAGACCCACCTAAAAACGTACACACCTGGGCCCAGCGCACACTCACAGGAGGACCTGTTTGAGCCCCACTCCTGAGTCCTCCTCCATGGAGAGATGCCCACTACACTCCAGTCCCACCCTGCCCCCACCCACTCTTCATCGTGCCTGCAGAGGGGAGAGGATCATCAGAGGGGGGCCCCTGGGACAAGCCAGGGGACCCGCCTGCCTGCCTGCAGGGAGCAGCTGTTGTGGTCAGCTTGGGCAGGGCACTCTCAACACACAAACCCAGACCCTGTGGGTGGTCTGTGGTTTTTCAGGATGGCCTGTCCCTGAGGGGAGAGTCTGCCTCATTCTGTTCTAGAAGCCACCCTCTAGCCAACTCCTCCAACTGTTCTCTCAGGGATACCAGGTGGATTGAGCTCCACCTGCCTGGTAGCCGCCTCTCTCCTCTGGTTGCACACTGAGACAAAGATGAGTGGTACCCGAAGACCTCCTCAAACCACAACCTCTGCTTCATGGACCAGGAACCTTCAGAACAGATGAGAGTTGAATACAGAGAACAAAATAACACTGGGAATACTCGATGGACTAACTGGCACAGACCAGCCATCTCATCAACTCTACAACTGAAGGAAATTGATGAGACACCCTTTACAGGCAGTGGTCCACAAGCAACATAGACTGTGACTCCTGGGGGAAAAGAAACATACAAGATGAGCTCCACATTCACCCGGTTCTCTGCCTGGGCTCAACTTCTCAAATGTGCAACAGTGAGCTGGAGTTTGAGCAGAACATGAGGGCCCTGCTCCAGTGAGGAGGAAGAGGTCAGTGTTGGGCAGTGGAAGCACCTAGAATCAGGAGTGGGGCATCAGAAAGAAGGGACCTGTGCTGAAGGTAGTGTGAGAGTCCTCAGTAAATCTGTGGAGGAGGGCGGGCTGTCTGTGATCAGGAGAAAACCTCTGGAGGCTTAATACTGAGAAGCTGCTACTGGACTGAGAGTGGACCCTCCTAGCACCCCACTGAGATTACATACAGTTGCCCCTAAGGAGGTGGGACCACACCCCAGAGTAAGACCTACCTAGACCTGCCTTGACAAAGCCCAGCCAACCCACGGCCAGATTGCCCAGGGACACAGTGTGAAAGTTGAGTCCCACCGAGGTAGAGAGCTTAGGAATCGCTTTGTGTTTTCTGCAGATCCACCCTAAGAAAGTGTAAAACCAACACTGCACAAGTTCTGAGTGAGGACCTAGTAACAGACTGTCTGCTAGAACAGAAATCAATAATCAGTAAAAGACAATAGACGCAGACTCTAAATGTACTATCATAATTCCCAATACACAATCAAAAATCACTAGACATGAAAAGATATAGGAAAATGTAGTTCACAGTTAAAGAAAAAAATCAATCAATAGAAATGGAACCTGAGATGGTCCACATATTGGCTTGGCAAACACTGACTTTAGAGCAGCTATGATAAATATGCTTAAAGAATCAAAGGAAGATGTTTTCCAGGAATTAAAGGAAAACATTATTTCCATGAGTGAATACATACGGAATCTCAGCAGAGAAATGGAAACTGTGAAAAAATAAGAATTCTAGAACAGAAAAGCACAAGAGTGGAAGTAAAATGTCCACTGGGTGGGCCTAACAGCACCTTGAGGATGGAAGAAGAAAGAATGAGCAAATGTGAAGACACATGAATAGACATTCTCCAGTCTGAAGAAGAGAGAGAAAGAAGAATTAAGAGAAATGAAAGGAGGCTGTGAGACAATATCCCAGACCTAACATCCATGTAAGTTCAGCCTCAGGAAAGAAGAGAATGAGAATGCATAGAAGCATGAAAGTGTTTTGAGGATATAGTGAACAATTTTTGTAAACTTGATTTAAAAAAAATACCAACTTACAGATCCAAGAAAACCCAAAGCAAGACAAATACAAAGAAAAACATATGGGCAGGTACCAGTTAAAAAGAGGAAAACCGAAAATAAAGAGAAATATCTTCAAAGCAGTGAGAGAAAAAAATCATGTTACGTAACAAGGAAAAAGACAAGAGCTGACTTATCAGAAGCAACTGAGGCCAGGAGGCAGTGAGGGGACATCTGTAAAGGCTGAAGACGACATTGCCAGTCAAGAATCCGAGATCTAGCCCCACCTCCCTCCAAAAATATCCTTCAAAACTGAGGGTGAAATGAAACATTTTTGATAAACAAAAGCTGAGAGGATTCCTCACCAGCAGACCTGTGCTACTAGAAATACTGAAGGATGCCCCTTGGGTAGAGTAGAAACACGCCCAGGTGGAGCGTGAATCTTCAGGACGGTAGATAGAAAAGATTTGTTTTCACTCATCTAGTAAAGGACTTGAAGGCAACGGACTGTTTTAAATGTGTCCTCAGTAACTAGGTCGTATTTTGACATGTGGTCACCTGTGGCTGCCCTGAATTCTCTTTGCTTTAAGTGTGGTTTTGACCGGTGGTCACAGTCAAAGGAAGAGTGTGTGAAAGAGCTGATCTTGGAGGAGGGAGCAGCGCTGCCCTGAGAGACGGCCACTCCCTGTGACACAGCCTCACAACAGAAAATGCACTGTATCCCACGTGGAAAGAGAACAGAGAGCCGGAGGATGTGAGGAGGAATATGGAATCCACACTCCAGCCTGCAGCCTCCCGCCCTGTGTAGGGGCATCATGGAATTCCGCTCTCTCCCACAAACCGCCCTGCAGGGACCAGGCTGATTGCACCCTTGGGTTGGGAGAAGAATCTGGCATGGGGAGCTCAGCCCCTCCCCCACATTCACTTCTCCTGGGCTCCACCTGCAGAGGGTTGTCGGCAGCCAAATAGTGCTGCCTGAATAGGTGGGCAATTCTGAGCTGTGATGCTGGACATCCACGGTGGTCATACACCAAAGCTGTGCTCTCCATGGACCCAAAATGACTGGTATTGTCCTCTGTCTGCCCCTTGCTCTTGTCTGTCTTGATTGATTCAAGACTTCAGGATATGGCACTATTGAACCCTGAAAGCCCCCACATAATTTAGCACAACAGTAAAGACCACGGATTCCAGAGTGAAACGAAACAGCTTCAAATGCCACTTCCCCATCTGCAGTGATGAGAACACACACACATCATGAAATCCTTCTAAATCTTCCTAATGGCACATCTGCACAAACAGGGTATCACCGACAATTTGAAGGGTGGCAAAGATTGGTAACTAATCAATTCTGAGATAACCCACGTAAAATGCTTATATAGCACCTGGCACAAAGCTGGAACTTGGGACATTGTTCTTATTGGGATATCGTGGTCCTTCCCCTACCTCCCCTATGAAGATCCAACAACTTGCTCTGGTCAGTTGGGAAGACTTTCTGGACCATTGAGTGTCTAAAGCACAATGGAGGACCCCCAGTCCAGCCAGTACAACTGTGCCTTGCAGACAGTGTACAGGGTATTTAAAATTGGGGAGGACCTCGAAAATCATGATGTGGGGTCTCCTGTCCCCGGCTGAGGGTCCTTCACCATCCATCTGAGGCTCCGACTCCAGAAATCACATGTTCTCCGAGTCCCAGTGAGTCTCCAGCTGAGAAAGAGCTTCCTGAACTGCATCACTGGACCCGGAAACTCCAGGAAGAGACCCATGGAGAGGAAGAGGAGGAGAAACAACCAGGCAACCACGAGGAAGGCATCTGTATCTACGAGTTCAGGGTTTTTTTAGATCCCAGATATAACTGAGATCATACAGCATTTGTCTTTTACTGTCTGACTTATTTCCCTAGTCATAGTTTTTTTAAAGTTTTTGTCTGATTGCTCCAACATCCAGGTCATTTCTGAGTCCTGTTTTGCTGATTGCTTTGTCTCTTGACAATTGATTGATTCTTTTCCTGCTTTTTCAAATGTCCTCTAAGTTTTGATCAAATATCAGAGTTCATGTATTAATTGAAATGACATGACCAGAGTTTCCTCCTGGAAATTGGTGTGTCTCTTCTGCCAGGTCATCATTGTGGGGGTGAGGGGATGGTTTCAATCTACCTGGGCAATTGTCAGTTTTCGTCTGTTGTTCCTGTGATGACTTTCAGGGTACCAAAGACTTCAGATTCCTCCTGTGGTGGGCTGTTGGTGGCTTCTGATAAGAGCCAGAGCAGGGGGTGCAGTGTTTTTCCTCCACCCTAAGTTTTCAGCTGCCCCTGAGTGCCTGGCACTCGGAGGGGACCTCAATGCCCTTTCCCAAGTGGAGACTGATGCTGCTCATGCAGCTGTGCTGGAGGCTGAGTCAGGAAGCAGAAGGGCTCTCTGTTATCCTGGCCCTGTGACAGTCTTCAGCAGGTTCTGGGTACCTGGGACCTGGAGGGTGAGGGTTTCTCACTTCCTTCCACGCCTCCCTGGGCCAGACAGACCCTGCTTTGAATGCGTGGTGGGTTTTTGTGAGAATTTCCTGCCCTCCCTGTTGTAAAAATCCTATAAGGTACCACATGGGCCCCGGGACCCCACCTGTTTCCCATCCCCCACTCAGGGGGAGGGAATTTTTCCCTCTGCCCTTCCCCATCCACAAGGCGAGTCTCAGTTGGTTAACGTGGGACAGCACCTCCCCACCCCCTCCACCCACCCAGGGCCCCACCTTCAGCTGAGCCATCGGGAAGAGGGCTCTATGTGCAGGGGCTGCTGTGCTTGTGATTTCTATACGCCTTCAAGGGAGGAACTTCAAAACTATATGAAGATAAAATAGAGGGACAAGCTGCATTGGAAAGCATGATTTATTTGGCTCACATGGGGTTTGGTTTCCTGCTAGAGACAGAGAAGGACCCTGGGAACAAGGGCTTCCCTGAGGGGACGTGCAGGGTCACAGAGGAATCTGGGTCAGAGTTCAGAGGGTTTGTTGAGCATGCTTTTCATCTGCCCTGCAGAACCTGGAGGCCCAACGAGGTCTCATTCCGGGAGGGGTGCTATGTGGACCCCTCTGCCTGGGAGCAGTTGAATAAGGGACTCATGGTCAATAGCAGCAAGGGGAGCTACAGGAGATGGGTCTGCAGACCAGGGTGGGGCAGGAGGGCTGGCAGCACCCGGAGGACTGGCAGGAGGGGACCACACACACAGCGGTCTGGCAGCTCAGGGGTGTGCAAACAGCAGTCTGGCAGCTCAGGGGTGTGCACACAGCGGTCCTGCAGCTCACGGGTGTGCACACAGCAGGCCTGCAGCTCACAGGTGTGCACAAAGCTGACCAGCAGCTCACGGGTGTGCACACAGCAGTCCTGCAACTCACGGGTGTGCACACAGCAGTCCGGCAGCTCATGGGTGTGCACACAGCTGGCTGGCAGCTCACGGGCATGCAGCCAGATGCCTGGCAGGGGCTGGGCACAGAGCAGGCCAACTGGCAGCCTGAGGAGCAGCTGATGTGGCACATGGTGGCGTGGGCTGGGCAGGTGTCAAGGAGGAGGGCGGTGATGTCTGCAGGCTCCTTCCCTGGGCAGCTTTTATACCCAAGTCGTGAGTGTGTGGACAACAGAGGACACAATGTTGTCTTCCTTGTTTTGGCTTCTTCCGGGCCATCTCCCAGAACTTGGCTTCTGCTGTAGACGTTGTGTTGTTTGCTTGGCTCTCAGCTCATGACTAATTGCCCCTTCCTCAAACTCTTGTTACACCTGGAAACCTACCTGATGTCTTACTGGCTCCATCTGGATTCTGCCTCATTCCTTAACATTTCACCTGAGTTACTTTTGTTGAATCCAAAAACGTGGGTCTCCAATTTCCCTCTCTGTGTGATGATAGTCCTGGAACAGCATCCTCTCCCATGTCAGGAAGGCTCCACAGCAGACGTGAGGAGAACGGAGCATCTCCTGGGAGCTTCGTGGTCTAGTCGAGCACTAGGAGGCACACCGGAAAGATATGGAGACCACTTGCCCACAGGACAAGTGTGGACTCAAAGGTGTGGTCACAGAGAACTTCCGGGAGGGGTGACCTAGGATCCTTGTCTGGAGGAAGCCTCACAGACAAGTGAGATGAACACAGCCAGGGCACCTCCTGCATGGAGACGCAGCCCCACAAAGAGCAGAGTGGGACCCATCACGCCTCAGGGAAGTGTGTAGGGTAAGTGGAGGGCCCCTGGGGGCCCAGAGAGGAGAGGTGTCAGCTGGTTGTGGCAGGCCCAACTCTGGACATGTCCAGGGGAGCCCTGTTGGCACCAGTGCAGCCTGCAGTGTCACCACAGGGTCACTTGGGACTTGGGCAAGGGACTGCCTGGTCGGGCTGCACATCTTTGCACTGCCTGTTTGGCCAGCCAAGGTGAGGGAGCACAGCTCCTGGAGTCCAGTAACGTCTCTTCCCTCCTCCCTGGGGCTAGTGCCTGTGCAAAGTGTGTGAGAGTCCCCTGTAAATCTATGGAAGAGGGCGGGCTGTCTGTCCTCAGGACAAGACCTCCAGAGGCTGAACACTGAGAAGCTGCTACAGGACCGAGAGTGGACTCCACCAACATCCCACTGAGACCCCACACAGTCACACCTAACGAGGAGGGACCACACCCACAATAAGACCCATCTAGACCTGCCCTAACCAAGCTCAGCCAACCCAGGACCAGACTGCCCAGGGACACACTATGGAGGTTGAGTCCCACCAAGGTAGAAAGCTTACAAAGCACTTTGGACTTTCCACAGATCCACCCTAACAACATGCAAAGCCAATCCTGCACAAGTTCAGGGTGAGCCGTTAGTAACAGTCTCTCTGCTAGAATAAAATCAACACTCAGGAAAAGAGACTAGAATGCACACTCTCTAAATGTATTATCATAATTTCCAGTACACAATCAAAAATCACTAGACATAAAAAGATATAGGAAAATGTAATTCACAGTTAAAGAAAAAAAAATCAATCAATAGAAATGAAACCTGAGATGGTCCACATATTGGCTTGGCAAACAATGACTTTAGAGCAGCTATGATAAATATGTTTAAAGAACCAAAGGATGATATCTTCCAATAATTAAAGGGAAATACCATTTCCATGAGTGAGTAGATAAGGAATCTCAGCAGAGAAACAGAAACTGTTAAAAAATGAGGATTCTAGAACGGAAAAGCACAAGAGTGGAAATAAAACCTCCATTGCGTGGGCCAAAGAACACACTGAAGATGGAAGAAGAGAGAGTGAGCGAATGTGAGGACACATGAATAGAAATTCTCCAGTCTGAGGAAGAGAGAGAAAGAAGAAATACGAGACATGCAAGGAACCTATGAGATGATATCCAAGAGTCTAACATATATGTAAGTTCAGCCTCAGGAAAGAACATGATGATATGGAAGCATAAAAGTGTTTTGAAGAAATAATGAACAATTCCTAAAGTTGATTTAAAATACTAGCAACTTAAAGATCCAAGAATCTTAGAAACCCTGAAGCAGGATGAGTACTTAGAAAACCATCTCTGGGTGCATACTACTAAAAGAAATGAAAACCAAAAACAGAGAGGAAAATCATCAAAGCAGTGTGAGAAAAAGGCTGACGAGAAAAAAAGACAAGAGCTGACTTCTCATCAGAAGCAATAGAGGCCAGGATTTAGTGGGAGGACATCAGCAAAAGACTAAAGATGAAACTGACAATCAAGAATCTCAGATATAGCCCCCCAACCCCAAAACAATCCTTCAAAACTGAGGGGGAAATGAGACATTTCCAATAAACAAAAGCTGAGAAGATTCCTCATGAGCACACCTGCCCTACTAGAATACGGATGGATGCCCCTGGGTAGATAGAAATGCCCCCAGGTGGAGCATGAATCTTCAGTAAGGTAGATAGAAAAGACTCGTTTTCACTCATCTAGTAAAGGACTTGAAGGCAGCTGACTGTTTTAAATGTGTCCTCAGCAACTAGGTCACATTTGGAAATGTGGTCACATATGGCTGCCCGAATTATATTTAAGCGTGGTTTTCACTTGTGGTCAGAGCCAAAGGAGGAGCCTGTGAAACAGCTGACCTCATTGACTTGTGGCTTGTCCATAGGCCTCAAGGTCATCCCACTGTGTGGTCTCACGTCAGCTCGGAACCCTTAGTTTTCTAAGGTCTGACTACACTTTAGATCCTGAGAACACAGTGGTCTTCAACCTTGGAGTGACTTAATTACTGTGATGTGTTACTCATCACAGGGCTTCCTTGAGGAGTCCCCCTGTCCACACCAGGTGCAGAGGATCCCATGGGCACAGCCTTTGGGGAGGGAGCAGCACTGCCCTGAGAGACAGCCACTCCCTATGAAATGGCACCGACCATAGGATAACATGCTGTGGCTAGTGTGTAAAGAGAAGAGAGACCCGGAGAACGAGAAGAGAAACACGAATCCACACTCTAGCCCACTGCCTCCCAACCTGTGGAGGGGCATCATGGAGTTTCATGCTGCCTCCACTCTCCCACAACCTGCTCTGCAGGGGCCAGGCTGATTGGACCCTTGGGCTGGGGGAGGAATCCAGCATGGGGAGCTCAACCCTCTTACCACATTTGGTCCTCCTGGGATCCACCTGCAGGGGGTTGTCTGCAGCCACCTCGTGCTGCCTGACTACGTGGGCAATTCTGAGGTGTGATGCTGGACCTCCACGGTGGTCATACACATAAGCTGTGCTCTCCACAGACCCAAAATGACTGATATTGCCATCTGTCTGGACCTTGCTCTTGTCTGTCCCAACTGATTCAGGACTTCAAGATATGTCACAATAGAACCCCAAGTGCCCCAAAATAATTTGGTGCAATGATAAAGACCACGGATTTCAGAGTGAAATCAAGAGCTTCAAATGCCACTTCCCCATCTGCAGTGATGAGAACATGCACACATCACGAAATCCTTCTAAATCTTTCTTCTTGTGTATCCGCATAAAAAGAGTATCACCAACTTGTGAAAGGTGGTAGAGACTGGTAACTGATAATTGATAAGATAGTCCACCTTAACTGCTTATACAGCACCAGGCACAAATCTGGAAGTTGTTATTATGGTTATTATTGCAATAATGTGGTCCCTGCCCTCCCCAGTGAGGATGCAATGACTTGGCTCCCGTTGGCCTGGAAGACCTACTGGGTAACTGAGTTTCCAAAGCAGAATATGGGACCCTGGTGCAGAGACTATGACTATGATTGTGCAGACAGACAGCAGGGTATTCAAATGGGGGAGGACCTGGAAATCATGGTGTGGGGCCCCCTGTCCCCCACTGATGGCCCTACACCATCCAACCTCTGCTCCGATAAGAAACTACATGTCCTCTGAGTCTCAGCGAGTCTCCAGCTGAGAAAGAGCTTCCTGAACTCAGTTGCTTCAACCTGAAACTCCAGGAAGAGACACACGGAGAGGAGAGGAGGAGAAACAAGCAGGCAACCACGAGGAAGGCATCTCTATCTATGAGTACAGGTTTCTTTTTCTCACATTACAAGTATAAGTGAAATCATATAGTATTTGTCTTTCTGTGGCTTATTTCCCTAGTCATAGTTATATTAAAGTCTCTCTCTGTTAGCTCCAAAATCAGGGTCATTTCTGAGTCCAGTTTTGTTGATTGCTTTGTCTCTTGACAATGGACTGATTATTCCCTGATTTTTCGAAGGTCTTCTAAGTTTTGATTGAATATCAGATTTCACGTATTAATTTAAGTTGACATAAACAGTGTTTCCTCCTGGAAATGGGTGTGTCTTCTGTCAGGTCATCAAGGTCTGTGGGAGGAGGTTTGAATCAACCCGGTCAGATGTTGACCTTGGTTTGGGTTTTGTTGTTATTGTGACGACCTTCAGGGTACCCAGGACTTCTGATTCCTCTTGTAGTGGGCAGCTGGTAGCTTGTGCTTAGGGCCAGGGCGGGCGACACAGCATTCTTACTCCACCCTAAGTTTTCAGCTCCCCCTGAGTGCCTGGCACATGGAGGTGACCTCGACACCTGTCAGCCCTTCCTGGGTGGAGACTGCTGCTGCTCATGGAGCTGTGCTGGCCAGGTGAGTTGGGAGGCAGGAGGGCTCTGTGGTGTCCTGTCCCAGTGTCAGTTTGAGCAGGCCCTGGGTGCCTGGGACCTGGAGGGTGAGGTCTTCTCACTTTCTGACACTTCTCCTTGGACGGTGGGACCCTGCTTTGTATCTGTGGTGGGACTGTGTGAGAATTTCCTGCCCTCCCTCTTTTAGCAATCATTTAGGGTACCACATTGGACCTGGGGCCCAGGCCACCCTCCCGTCCCCCACTCAGGGGGAGAGAATTTGTTCCTCTTCACTTCCACATCCACAATGTGACAACATGAGGAGGCAAACATGAGGACAGCACCCTTGTCACCCCCTCCACCCACCAGACACCCCCCACCTTCAGCTGAGCCATCAGGAAGAGGGTTCTACATGGAGGGGCTGCTGTGCCTGTGATTAGTAAACACCTACAAGGAAACAACTTCAAAACTGTATGAAAATAGAATAGAGGGACAAGCTGCATGGGGAAAGCACAATTTATTTGGCTCACATGGGGTTTGGTTTCCTGCTGGAGACAGAGAAGGACCCTGGGACCCAGGGCTTCCCTGAGGGGATGCACAGGGTCACAGAGGAATCCAGGTCAGAGTTCAGAGGGTTTGTTGAGCATGCTTTTCATCTGCCACCTGCAGAACCTGGAGGCCCAATGAGGACTTGTTCTGGGAGGGGTGCACGTGTTGACCTGTCTGCACAGAGAGCAGCTGAGCAAGGGACTCGTGGTCAATAGCAGCAAGGGGAGCTACAGGAGATGGGTCTGCAGACCAGGGTGGGGCAAGAGGGCTGGCAGCACCTGGAGGACTGGCAGGAGGGGGCCACACACACAGCAGTCTGGCAGCTCACGGGTGTGCAAACAGCGGGCCTGCAGCTCACGGGTGTGCACAAAGCTGGCCGGCAGCTCACGGGCACGCAGCCAGACACCTGGCAAGAGTTGGGCACAGAGAAGGCTGACTGGCAGCCTGAGGAGCAGCTGGTGTGGCACATGGTGGTGTGAGCTGGGCTGGTGTCAAGGAGGAGGGCAGCCTTTATACCCGAGTCATGGGTGTGTGCACAACATGGGACCAATCACAACTAAAGAGATTGAAACAGTAACCAAAAATCTCTGGAGAATTCTACCAAACATTCAAAGAAGATTTAATACCTATCATTCTCAAACTATTCCAAAAACTTGAATAAGTCAGAACACTTCCTAACACATTTTACGAGGCCAACATCACCCTGATCCCAAAGCCAGACAAGGACAACACAAAGAAGGAAAATTGCAGGCCAATATTGCTGATGAACATAGATGCAAAAATCCTCAACAAAATATTAGCAAACCGAATACAGTAATACAGTAAAAGGATCATACACCATGATCGAGTGGGATTTATACCAGGGATGCAGGGATGGTTGAACATGCACAAATCAATCAATGTGATACACCACATTAACAAAACGAGGAATAAAAATCACATGATCATTTAAATAGAAGCAGAGAAAACATTTGACAAGATCCAACATCCATTCGTGATAAAACTTCTCAATAAAATGGGTATAGAAGCAAAGTACCTCAACATAATAAAGGCGATATATGACAAACCCAGAACCAACCTCACACTTGGTTGAGGGAAAATGGTGGGAAAACTAAAAGCCATCCCTCTGAGAACAGGAACAAGACAAGGGGGCCCACTCTCACCACTCTTATTCAACATAGTACTGGATGTTTTAGCCAGAGCAATTAGGCAAGAAAAAGAAATAAAAGATATCTAAATTGGAAAGGAAGAAGTGAAACTTCTGCTGTTTGCAGATGACATGATTTTATACATAGAAAACCCTAAAGAATGCATGGGAAAACTATTGGAAATAATCAACGACTACAGCAATGTTGCAGGGTACGAAATCAACTTACAAAAATCAGTTGCATGTCTATACTCTAATAAAAAACTAACAGATAGAGAACTCAACAATACAATCCCCTTTACAATTGTAACAATAAGAATAAAATACTAAGGAATAAATTTAACCGAGGACATGAAAGACCTCTACAATGAAAACTATAAGACATTATTAAAAGAAATCAATGATGACCTGAAACAATGGGAAGATATTCCATGCACATGGATTGCAAGAATAAACATAGTTAAAATGTCCATACTACCTAAAGCAATCTACAGATTCAGTGCAATCCCAATCACAATTCCAATGACCTTCTTCTCCGAAATAGAACAAAGAATCCCACAATTATTATGGGGCAATGAAAGACCCCAACTAGCTAAAGTGATCCTGAGGAAAAAGAACAAAGCTGGAGGGAGCACAATCCTGGATTTCAAAATATACTACAAAGCTATAGTAATCTAAACAGCATGGTACTGGTACAAAAACAGACACACAGATCAGTGGAACAGACTTGAAAGCCCAGAAATAAAACCACACATCTATGGACAGATCATCTTCAACAAAGGAGCCAAGAAGATACAATAGAGAAAGGAAAGTCTCTTCAATAAATGGTGTTGGGAAAACTGGACAGCCACATGCAAAAGACTGAAAGTAGACTGTTATCTCTCACCATACACAACAATTAACTCAAAATGGATCAAAGACTTGAATGTAAAACCTGAAACCATAGAACCCCTAGAAGAAAATAGAGGCAGTACACTCTTTGACATTGGTCTTAGAAGGATCTTTTCGAATTCCATGTCTACTTGGGCAAGGGAAACAAAAGAAAAAGTAAACACATGGCACTTCATCAGACTAAAGAGCTTCAGCAAGTGAAGGAACCCAGGAATAACAGAAAAATACAACCCACTAACTGGAAGAAAATATTTGCAAATCATATATCCAAGAAGGGGTTAATCTCCAAAATATATAAAGAACTCATACAACTCAACAAGAAATAAAACAAAGAACCCGATTGAAAAATGGGCAGAGGATATGAACAGACATTTTTCCAAAGAAGATATACAGATGACCAACAGGCACATGAAAAGATGTTCAACATCGCTAATCATCAGGGAAAGGCAAATCAAAACTACAATGATGGGGCCGGCCCAGTGGCGCAAGCGGTTGGGTGCGCGCACTCCGCTGCGGCGGCCCCGGGTTCGCTGGTTCGGATCCCAGGCGCACACCGACGCACTGCTTTGGCAAGCCATGCTGTGGCGGCGTCCCATATAAAGTGGAGGAGGATGGGCACGGATGTTAGCCCAGGGCCATCTTCCTCGGCAAAAAAAGAGGAGGATTGGCGGATGTTAGCACAGGGCTGATCTCCTCACAAAAAAAAAAAAAAAAAAACTACAATGACATACCACCTTACACCTGTTAGAGTGGCTACAATTACCAACACAAAAAGCAACAAATTTGGAGAGGATGTGGAGAAAAGGGAACCCTCCTACACTGCTGGTGAGAATGCAAACTGGTGCAGCACTGGAAAACACGCATACTATGAAAAACAGAATGGAGTTTTATCAAAAAATTAAAAATATAAATACCATACGACTGGGTATCCCACTACTGGGTATTTATCCAAAGAACTTGAAATCAACAATTCAAAGAGACTGACGCATCCCTATATTCATTGCAGCATTATTCACAATAGCCAAGACGTGGAAGCAACCCAAGTGCCCGTTGATTGATGAATGGATAAAGAAGATGTGGTATGTATATACAATGGAGTACTACTCAGCCATAAAAAAGACAAAATCATCCCATTTGCAACAACATGGATGGACCTTGAGGGTATTACCTTAAGCAAGATGATAAGCCAGACAGAGAAAGACAAACACCATATGATTTCACTCACGTGTGGAAGATAAACAAAAAAGAGAACAGATTAGTGGTTTCCTGAGGGGAAGGGAGTTGAGGGGTGGGCAAAAGGATAAAGGGACACATATATATGGTGACGGACAAATAATAATGTACAACTGAAATTTCACAGTTATAAACTATTATGACCTAAATAAAATAAAAAATAAAGAATCCTATATCTAGTCCCCTCCCCCAAAATATTCTTCAAAAATGAAGGTGAAATGAAACATTTTCAATAAACAAAGGCTGAGAGGATTCCTCACCGGCAGACCTGTGCTACTAGAAATACTGAAGGTTGCCCCTTGGGTAGAGTAGAAACGTGCCCAAGTGGAGCATGAATCTTCCAGAAGGTAGATAGAAAAGACTCGTTTTCACTCATCTAGTAATGGACTTGAAGGCAACTGAGTATTTTCAATGTGTCCTCAGTAACTAGATTATATTTGGACACATTGTCACGTGTCGCTGCCCTGAATTCTCTTTGTTTTAAGTGTGACCTGAGGTCACAGTCCAAGGAAGATTGTGTGAAAGAGTTGACCTCGGAGGAGGGAGCAGCTCTGCCCTGAGAGACGGCCACTCCCCGTGACACGGCCCCACAACAGAAAATGTGCTGTGTCCCACATGGAAAGAGAACAGAGAGCCGGGGGATGTAAGGAGGAACACGGAATCCACACTCCAGTGCATAGCCGCCCGCCCCCGTAGCCTCCCACCCTGTGGAAGGGCATCATGAAATTCCACGCTGCCTCCACTCTCTCCCACAACCTGCCCTGCAGGGGCCAGGCTGATTGGACCCTTGGGCTGGGAGAGGAATCCGGCGTGGGAAGCTCGACCCTCTCACCACATTCGGTCCTCCTGGGCTCCACCTGCAGACGGTTGTCTGCAGCCACCTAGTGCTGCCTGACTAGGTGGGCAATTCTGGGGTGTGATACAGGCCTCCATGGTGGTCATACACCTAAGCTGTGCTCTCCACGGACCCAAAATGGCTTGGATTGTCATCTGTCTGCCCCTTGCTCTTGTCTGTCCCAACTGATTCAGGACTTCAGGATATGTCACTATTGAACCCTGAAAGCCCCAAAATAATTTGGTAAAATGATAAAGATGACAGAATCCAGAGTGAAACCAAGAGCTTCAAATGCTGCTTGCCAACCTGCAGTGATTACAGCGTGCACACCTCATGATCCTTCTAAATCTTCCTTACTGTGTATCTGTACAAAAAGGGTATCATCAACCAGTGAAAGGTGGTAGAGACTGGTAACTGATAATTGATAAGATAGTCCACCTTAACTGCTTATACGGCACCAGGCACAAATCTGGAAGTTGTTATTATTGCAATAATGTGGTCCCTGCCCTCCCCAGTGAGGATGCAATGACTTGGCTCCCGTTGGCCTGGAAGACCTACTGGGTAACTGAGTTTCCAAAGCAGAATATGGGACCCTGGTGCAGAGACTATGACTATAATTGTGCAGACAGACAGCAGGGTATTCAAATGGGGGAGGACCTGGAAATCATGGTGTGGGGCCCCCTGTCCCCCACTGATGGCCCTGCACCATCCAACCTCTGCTCCGATAAGAAACTACATGTCCTCTGAGTCTCAGCGAGTCTCCAGATGAGAAAGCTTCCTGAACTCAGTCACTTCAACCTGAAACTCCAGGAAGAGACACACGGAGAGGAGAGGAGGAGAAACAAGCAGGCAACCACGAGGAAGGCATCTCTACCTATGAGTACAGGTTTCTTTTTCTCACATTACAAGTATAAGCGAGATCATATAGTATTTGTCTTTCTGTGGCTTATTTCCCTAGTCATAGTTATTTTAAAATCTCTCTCTGATAGCTCCAACATCAGGGTCATCTCT